CTCACCACCTGGTGCACCGTGGACTACGGGTGAACGTATCACCATCAGCAAGACAAGAATCGGTAGCAACAACGGGAGACGGTTCATTTTAGAATATTGCTAAGGCCCTGAAATGAAAGTTTGTTATTAAATGAACAGTATAACCAATATATGAATACACTGTACACTGTGAAAAGGTTGGGCAATATTTTTCAAACACTTTGCCCATCGTTGTGTCAACAGTCAACCCAACCATCTATTAGGCAATATTTTGCCTAGTGGTATTGGTAAGCGTAAGGACCCAACTTCACACATGCATAATTGTTTCGTATTTTGATCAACAGCGTGGTCCAGAATTTCCCAACAAGTAGGCTACCGTAGTCGGGCAGTTGAAGGGTCATTATCTTTGCCCGAATTGTTGTCAAAACACGAAACAGTTATGCATGTGTGAAGTAGGGTACTTACGTTTACCAATACCACTGGGCACAATATTGCCCAATAGATGGTTGGGTTGAATATTGGCACAACGTTGGGCAAAGTGTGGTAAAATATTGCCCAACCTTTTCACAGTGTACATAACATGGAAATACCCCTCGTCCCGTTAATTCAACAGAGTCAGCAGGACATTGGAATAAATGTAATAATCTTCGAACCTTGCACGGCTCTGGCAAGTATTTCTTTAAAGATATGAAATACAACCAATTAATCAGTGTTTTTCTTCCTCTTATTCTCTTCTTATTCTTCCTTCTACTTATTTTAAGTCGAAAGACATTGGAAATAACTTGTTATTTGCACACACAAAATATATATACAGAAATTCAATGATAATAAAATATACTTCAAGTCAAACTTTACAAACATTATCATAGGTATACAATATTTATCTACATTGGTTACGTTTTTCAATGATTACGTAAAATTCTAAGAAAAGAAAAACACAAATAAGTGCTCAGAACGTTTGGATGGAAATCTATCATTGGATATGAAAATATACAATACAAGTACTTACCCTTCTGCTAAAAACCTGGTGTTCTTCAACAATGAAATGAAATAGATTGGTAGGTACTGCTTCTTTACATAACCCCTCTAACGATGAAGTTATTGTATTTTATCATAGTCGTATAACATTTCGATATCGGAGTGTACAGTTCGTGGTTACTATGTACTTCCTTCATGGATTTATTAGCAGGCGTTGTGCCAATAAAATCACATTCTAAAATTAATTACATTCTAAAGTACGTGGAGTTTCTTAAATCATAACTGGCTGAATAACAGATATTACATTCAGGCAATACTAGGTATATTTCCCCCTTTTTCAAACGTGTTTGAAAAACGTACACACAAAATATTTATTTATTAATTAGCACACTGGTTTCTTGCACGTGCTATTGAGAGTTATCAAAATAATGTTGCCTTATTTGAATAACATGAAGTAAACATTATTTGTTTTTTGTGTGTGTTTTCCACTTTTTTCTGAAAAGCAAAATATTGATGTCGATCAAGAATTGGACATGTTTATTTTAAAGGTAATACCCGTTGGCTCAGTGTTATGTAGAGACCGCCAACTTGCCTACTTCACGAACGACCCAGTATCCCGAGTTTCGATTGACTGTTTGTAATTTAGTTTTAAAATATCAAATTTAATGACATTATGTGATTAATTAAATTCATCTAAAGATACGCATTATTATAGTTCTATAAAATCTATTTATTTACAATTTAATCTTGCACGTTTTGATGGATATTTGAAGGGAATTTGAAGATTATATCATGTATTATGGTCAATTTTCGGGCGTTGTATTAGATCACGTTTAGCGAGCACGCAACGTACGCGTAGGCCTACATGATTTCACTTTGTATGCCCTTGACTTACCTACATTGCAAATGTTCATGCATGTCGTGTTGTCGATATGAAAAGAAAATATAGTATGATATACCTTGGACACTCACCAAAGGTCACATATCTCTTTTCCACTTGACTTATGTGTACTAAACGAGACTTCCTCTTTCTTCTTCCTCATATTACTGCAAAACAAAACAACGCCTTGCTCTGAGAACACTATTAAGATAACAATTTGGCACTGATATAAGAACGCTATTACAAACATACGTAATTATAATAATACAAACACACATGATTATATTTCTCTGTGTTTCTGTGCACGATTCAAGGGAGACAATTTCTTCCTTGACTACGATCGGTTTGAAATGCATTGGTCAACGAGCCGGCAAGGAAACTCCATCCTGATGAATACTCGAGTCAATTTCTGGAAGAAGAAAAAATACCATAACCCCAAAAATTTGCAACAAAAATGATTTCCATGGGCTTTCCAGTAGTGTTTATCAGAAAAAACATACTAAAAACCTAAGAAAATCGGACCTCTGGAAAGATGTTTTTTCAGAACGGCGTACAAAATACGCAAATACCCTAAAATTGCCATGAATCTTGATATATCCATTATAAAGATGTATTTTTTGTGTCTGTACCTAGGTTTCGGGGTCTGACGAATATGGTATAATAATATATTTTACAATGGGTTATGAACACGAAGAAACCTGGAAATTCAAGGTGGCGTCCAAAACGGTCGTTAGTCTCCTTAAAATGACCGGAAGCTCTTTCCTATCTACAGGAAAGCTGGAATTATTGAGAATAAAAGAATGTTTTAGAGGTCAGGATATTCGCTAACATGCTATATTTAATGTTCTTTATTCGCTTAAAATTCAAAAACACATATAAAAAATCAAGGTTACAATATTGAGGTTATACATTAAATAGACTCAATGACAAAAATTAATACAAAACAAAGAGAGTTCAGTTATATTGCATAGATGCAACACCATCGAATTAATGTTAATACAAATAAAAATAAAAAATACTATCGATAATAGTGAGAAAAATTACGATGATAATAATTCTTTTTTAAAACCGATAATAATAATTACACCGATAATTGACGACAAAATTCATGGAAGCAATTGAAAAAAGAAAGTTACTGGTAGCAGTAAACTGATATTTGAATTAATGAATTACTGAAAATATTCTTGATATCAATTTGATAATTTGATATAAGATAAAAAAGAGAAACATAAAATTAATATTGATCTCATAACATGTTTTGTGCACATACTTAAATTAATGAAAACGAAGCATTATTTATCGACAGAATTTTACTGATTTTGAACGTGTCTGTACATTATTTGAGTTAAAAAGCCGATCCATTTTCAAATTTGGTTTTTCAATAAAATATTTATCGATGAACAATTTTCTGTCTGAACGAACCATAATAGAGAATACTCACACGCACCCGCACACGCACACGCACACACATATTAGTCATTTCTGTAAAATAAGTCATCAAATATTTTAGGTAGGCTGTTGGTAGTATATTCAAACATAAACTGATGACTGAAATAAGTACAAATCTCGAATTTTAATTTATGATTATCAATCAATAAAATGTCAGTATGCGCTCGTTAATGGAGATTGAAAACAGTTCTCAGTGACTTCTTTTTCAAAATTAATCAGATTTTATTAAGTAAGGTTCGGTGTGTGTTAATACTCCACGTTATAATGCCGTAGTTAAAAGAAGGTAATTATCAAACTTGAAGAAAGTGTGACTAGAGCAGATGAAGGCAAATCAAAATCTATTTACGAAACCAATATTACGTGAAATTGTTTTGCAAATACTTCTAATATGATATATCCACGAATGTTTATTATCGACACATTCACAATCAAATTGTATAGATGAAACTTCCTCCAAAGGAGTATGACCAAATTTAATATTACCTGGAAGTTTACCTAAGGAGTTGCTAAAAAGCATACATTTTGTTTCCTTGAAGGTTTAACGATAATTTATTTGCTATAATCCACTGAGTGACATGTTGTAATTCATTGTTTACTGTTCTTAACATGATGTTGGGGTCTGGATGGGAGAAGAAAAGGTTTGCTATAATTATGCAGGGAGTTCAGTTCGGTGATAACAACCGTCAATTTCTCGACTTTATACTCATATTGTAGACCCATCTTATGAAACAAATAATACATGTTTTAGCTCGTGCATTAGTGATATGCACTGCACTTAGTTAAGCCACAATGAGACGGACAATGAACTTGACAAATCTCGTTCATTATCCTACTGTGACTTAACCTGCGTGCAGTGCATTTTCACTAATGCACTCGCAAACATGTATTATTTGTATAAATTTCAATAGAAAATGGACTTTGTTCCCCAAAATAATTATTAATTAATTACTGGTCTCATTAGTACTTAACACAAATATTGGACAAAGTCCAGCAGATAGGGTGTTCAGGCTCCGTGAATGATTACATGTTATTGGCATTCTTAGGGTACCGTGTCACAGCCTCGCAACATGATTGTCTAGACTTTGAAGGAAGATAAATTGTAGATGATTAGCGTTGAAATGTTGTGAATGAACGATACTGGAAACTAACTGAATGAATTGACTCCTTGACGAAACCGGTAAGCCAGACTTCTCCAAAATATATTTTTGTTTGACATTTTGAAAAATGGTAGTTAGTATTAAATCATCTACTATAGTATGTATTATCATTCATTATATTCTCGATATAGCATTGGTAAGTTTGTCTTATATCATACCCCCGAATTAATAAGTTTCTTATAGAATGATCACACTGAAAGTGAATGATTATTTCGTTTAGCATGTCTTACTAGTGTTTTTATCTTGCATTTTCCACTCTTAATTTATACAATCTATATACCCTGTACTGTAAATGCTTTGTTCTGTATTGTTTTATTTTGTTTCTTTCGTTCCACAGTTTACTTGAATGATTTACATGTTCATTCTTCTTTTCGATATAGATATAAATTTGAGATTTGAAATTTGAAAAATATAGTCCAATGAGCTACAGTATAAATGAATCCTTTGGTCTCGATGTTGTATTTTTTGTATTGTTTTTTTCTTATAGGGGTTCTGGCGAGGATTATGCAAAAATTAAATGACAGTAAACAGGTATATTTTCTACTCTTCCAAACGGCCGTAATTATGTACGTTTCCGTCAAGATAGTAGTTCGACAATGCAGTTTTATTTTGACTCTATCCCTTTCCCCTCAATTTTATGACATCATCACAGTTCAAGCAAAAGATGGCGAACAATGACAGCCCAAGCCTCTTCACCGCTGCGGACTACGCCGTCTGCATCGTCATGCTCGTTGCTTCGTTCGCACTCGGCCTCGTCGCCGCTTTCATCGAACGCCGCCACCGTAGCCGACATCGGATAACCTCCGAACGCTTTCTTCTGGGTAGTCGTCGACTGAACGTTATACCCGTTTCGATGTCAATGACCATTCCGTTCGCAGCGGCGATTAATATCCTCGGGACGCCAGTTGATGTCTACATGTACAATACAATGTTTTGGTGGATATGTTTGGCTTACATTATCGGTGGCGCCCTCGTGTGTCGAATGTTCGTGCCTTTGTATTTCAAAACTGGAGTCGTTAGCGCTTTTGAGGTGAGACAAATAGAAACATTACATTTCTATAGAAATAACAAACAATTACTCTATTCTTACTCACCAATTAAGTTACGTGTGTTAGGAACATAAGTGGAGTATAAATTATGATCCCTTGCAAGACTGTACCACGACCACCCCCTCTCCGCCAGGCATGGACTGCCCTCCCAGACGACTATACTCTCAACATTAGGGACTTTTAGATTGAGTGGACCAGAACGGCGTGAACGTCCACTGATTATGCATGTCCATGGCAAGCCGTTTTAACATTTATTCAAGAATTGGATTCTTGATATCTAAAAACGAATTTGTTTTTTTCGTTGTTGTGGTAAAGCAATGATAATTCTTGAAATCCAGAATTGAATTCTTGATAATTATATATCAAGAAATAGAAATACATGTTAAAACGGCTTGTCATGGGCACGCTTGATCAGTGGACGTTCACGCCGTTCTCGTCCACACAATCTAAAAGTCCCTATTACTACCCCCGAATCAGATAATCCCTTCGGCAATCACCTCAGAACAATTAACTTCCACTAATTTAATCACCCCGTAGATTACCATTCGAAGGTGATTGTAGTAGATTTTAAAGGGGATGGCCTATATAGTAATCTGGAGGGGGGGGGGGGGGGTGCTTTTCCTGTGCGTGATGGTCCAAAGGGTATCATATTGTCCCGATTTGTTGAATTGTTTGAAGTCAGTTGTTTGATCCTCAAATCATATTTGGCTTCTTTTCATTAACAACTTGGATAAATAAAATACATGAGTGTCCTTCATTGAGTAGCATGGGGCTGATTTATATTTTATGTATAACTAAAATTTCAAGGCTTGTAGGCCTACTCTGATATAATTGTGAAAAAAGTACAATATACAGGTGTCAGTAAAATCATTTCCATTATTTAGCTTCAGTTATACATATTTAACACTTTTTTTTTATTTTTCATCTTTCTAAATGACAAATGTTTTAAAATCTATAAAATCATACTTCTCTCTAAGTTTGTCTCTGCTGTCTAGTCATTTTTTTAAAGATCACTTTTATCACAATTGCGTAGGCTGTTGAAGTCTAAATATTTTGTCTCCCTCTGTTTCATTTAGTATTTGGAGCTTCGATTCAACAAAACTGTCCGTGTGTTTTGCAGCCTGTTATTCATTGTACAGATGGTACGTAGCAAAAATTGAAGTTTTCCCAGGTACATTTTCTTCTTTCATTTTTTGCTTAAATTAAATTAAAATACAACACAAATTACGCTTGAAATCCTTTGACGTAAGTATTGAAAGTGTTGACTTTATTAATTTTCAAATTTGTATATAGACGAGAGGTATGTTTAGCTTTTAACATAAATTGATCCGAAATTTAATGACGATATGAAATATTATGTTGGATACCCTTTCAGAATGTTCAATAATGACCATTTATAGTATATACCCGTAAATACATGAAATATTGTAACATAATTCGTATTTCTTAAATTTATACAGAATTTACTTTTACAAATGATTGCTTGTTTTGATTATGTTTTCAGATGGTATATCTTGGCGTTATTTTGTATTTACCGTCACTAGTCATTCAAACAGGTGAGCACAGAGGCAATACAATTTCATTTTTATTTTCGTCGTTTGTCATATTCAAATAATTTTCAATACTTTAATCTATCATGAAAAATAATGTCCTAGATTATTTGTGTATATTTGCTTCTTTTTCCCTATTTTTTTCTTTCTGTATGTCAACCATTATCATCATATTTCCCACAATGGTGCATTCATTTTTTTTTCCGCTATTACTATTATTATTCTATGTTTATATGATCACTTCTGAAACTGGTAGTTCGTCATCATAACATAATACAAGTGGCTTAAAAAGAAAAATGATAAAATATAAATTACAAGTAAATTCGCAAAAGTAGCATAAAAAACTAAAGTGAGCATTTATTTTTACGCTATATCACAGAGGAAAACCAAAAAAAAATGTTTTATCAGTTTCCCTCATTTTCACAAGGGGTTTCTTACATTGAAAATTTTGCTTCAAACTAAAATACTGCTATAAGGATTTATATTCTACAAATATTTCTTTTGGTTTAAGAACGATTACCAAACGAACACTTTTGAACAAAGCTTTAGAATAGAATACATTTTCAACGGTTGCGCCCCTAGTTTAATTGATTAATATTTAGTTTTTCTTCCCAACAGTGACCGGCTTTCATTTGTGGGGTAGCCTTGCTATTGTCTGGGTCGTTGCTGTTAGTTACACAGCCGTGGTAAGATTGTTTGAATAAGAATGAACAATATTGGTTTATATTATGTAATACGCCATTTTCGTAATGTCATTGAATTTAATGCATAAACGTTAGTTAAGTGCCTTGTTACAAATTATTTTATTCACCTGTTGCGAATAATTGTATCCCAATAGTCAGAATCCGAATTGCATACATTGATTGTTGTTAGATAAGGTTAGTCATAATGTTTGTCCTACCTAGCATCAACTAATCTATGTAATTTGCATTCTTGCTGATGTGATAAATTATATTCGTAACAGGTGAATGAAATAATTTGTAATGAGGCACAGAACAAACAATTATGCAGTAAATTGATTATATTACGAAAATGTCCTCTTACCTTTAATGTATCGTTTCTTTTTTAACCGGATCATCAAAGACATCTTCTTTTTCTACGATGTGCTTTATACGAGTTTTAAATATACCTTAACGAAAAGCAGTTAGAACGCAAGTATACAAGTATAAACATTTAATAAAGAGCCATTTTAACAGAAAACATTCAATATCAAAGAGGGCGTATATCAATTTAAAAAACTCATGTGGTATGTCTTGCACATGTTTATATGTTGTTTAAAATCTTAGCGCTATTTAATAATGTAACAAGGATACAAGTAAACTTCTTAGCAGTATGCAGTGAAATGCAGTTTTATGCAATGAAATTAATTATAGGATCTTGTCTTTATAGGATCTCTATGAATTCATTGTTTTGCCAGTGTTTAATATGGAGATCAAACTTCCGCTTCTCATGAAATTGTACGAGCGAGTCTTATCCAGTATTAATCAATTTCCTGTTTCTTTGTGCTGTCTCATGTTCCTTGGCCTTCGTCATCAGGGAGGGATGCGAGCCATCGTCTGGTCAGATGTTCTCCACGCCATCGTCATCTTCTTAGGTCTCATCGCAGCTGTTACCATGGGAACGAACCAGGTTGGAGGATTCGGAGAGGTGATGCGGATCGCACGAGAGAGCGACCGGTTCAAGTTAGCCGTGTACGTCCTATCATGCTAGCAGACCTTAATCATATGATCTATTTAATGCTTTTTGGTTGACGTAACGTGAAACCGCGATTTGACATCTGCCAAAAGTTGATAAGATATCTCCATCTGTATAATTCAATTACATTAATGATCTATATCAATTTCTAAGGCCATTTGGAAACGAATAGAGGTGTTATATCATAATGTGATACAGGGAATATTGTATACTACTATTCAGCATGCACAATCTCTCTCCCTCCCCCTCCCCTTTCTCTCTCTCTCTCTCTCTCTCTCTATGTCTCTCTGTCTCTCTCTGTTTATGTATGTCTCTTTGTCTCTCTGTCTCTCTCCCTCTCCCTTTCTCCCTCCCTCCCTCTCTCTCATATTCTCTCTCTCTCTTTCCCAATCTCTCTCTCACTCTAACATTTTCCTTCTTTCAGTTTCTCTATCTCTCTCTCTTTCCCGATCTCTCTCTCTATTTCTCTTTCACCATCCCTCCCTCCTTCTTCTCCTTGACTCATAACATAATAATACACGTGCTCTTCAGTATCTTGCATGCTTTATACAGACTACTATTATTTCAGGAGTCAATTTGACCGCTATTCCAATAAAAAAAAACATGTACGTATTCAGGTAATATTTTTTTGTTTGTTAGATGACTTGTAAATTTTGCAGTTAATGCTTCATGTTATAAATTAAATAACATCACAATTTTTTTAAGCGCTTAGAAACTGTACTTGTATACCAGCGCTATATAAATCTTAAATATTATTATTATTATTATTATATTATTTACCCAGAAAAATACGTTTTATAATTGCCAATAAACCAGCTATAGCCTATTACTAATGAATATTCTTTTCTTCTTTGCCGATGACCAATAGGGTGAGTTTCGATCCGACTGTCCGTCACACCGTATGGTCAGTGGTAGTCGGTATGACTGTCATCGTCGTCGGTACCATGGGAACCAATCAGGTGATCGTCCAGAAGTACCTCAGCCTCGAGACACAAACACAGGCCAAAATGTGAGAGAGTAATCTTCACAATCCTTAGCCGTCATACTAACCCGTTAGAGAAATATTGTCATGAACATGATCGCCCAGACGATCGAAAAGAGACCTTACGGCAATTTCAATAACCTTGTGCGTCGCCGCTTGAAAAGTGCATGAACATGACTATGACGTATTACTATTACGTAATCAGAAGATGATTTCCGCTGGCAATTCTACAGGTGATATTGGAATTGCCATTAGGTTGCTTTCTTAAAAAATGGTATGATAGTGATATACAGTAATAACTTTAAAAAAACCCTAAATTTAATGGTGTTTAGATATATATGTATAGTCATCGCCGTCGGTTCCAATGGAAACATTCAAGTTATTTTCCAAAACTACCTCAGCCTTTAGTCACCAACGCAGGCGACGATTTTAGAGAATAATTTTAATTTCATAACCCGTAGCCGTATTATTATTTCGAAATATCAATTGGTAAAGTAGTACTTATTTAAATTAAAAGCCCAAATCAGAATGTTCAAATATAATTTTTTTGGGGGTGACGGATCTGATCAAAGAAACAAGGTTCAAAACTCTTTATCGTATTTGTTTCCATTTTGACAGTGCCATCATGATATCGTCTCTCCTTAAAGTTATAGTAGTATCACTCTGTGTGCTGCTAGGCCTGATAGTCTATGCTGCATACAGCCTGTGTGATCCTTACTCTTCTGGAAAAATCTCCCAAATCGACCAGGTGAGAATTATGACAAAGATAATTGCGGAGCGGGGAAGCCCGGAAGGGGTAGTTGGCACAGGGGTTACCTCAACTTGGCATATTTTAATTACACACTAAGTAAACAAAGTACGACAATACTCTGTAAAGAGGGATGTACTCCAATGGAAAAAGAAGAAGAAGAACAAGGAAAACATGTTCAACATTGTGACGGCTGCAAGGTAGCAATTTTTATCCAAAAAGGAAAAATACACCCTGTTCTAACGTGATGCCCTTTTTGGGGTGTCAGAATTTCATGAGGATAGGGCCCCTCCTAGCAAACGCCAGCTAAACATTTCGCTCTAATACTAAAAATCTACGATTCGGTGAATAGCATCATGAATAATTAATATGTATCCTTCTACTGTTTGCTCTCATGATCCTCATAGTTGACGCTATTTTTCGTAATGGACTTATTCTCATCTAAGCCTGGCCTTCCTGGTCTCTTTGTGGCAGCAATACTGGCCGCATCTATCAGGTCAGTTGCGTAGCTACGTGCCCCCAAAGTAAAACTTATTTTAAAAAGGAAAAGAGATAAAAACAGACACAGCGTTAATAAACGATGAACTTTTTTCGCACATCAGGATGGACTCAACTATTTTATTCATTCCCCTTTTCATTTCGTGCCAGTTGGGCGATGTAATAATCGTAATTTCACTGTTAAATGTTTGAACTCGCCTTTAACAACGTTTAAAAGCATTAGAAAAATTACAATCTGAAAAAAGAACTTTTCATCATAATGCATGTATCAGCAACGATTCGAAGATTTTAATTATTGTTATCAACTTTTGTTGTTGTTGTTGTTGTCATTCGACAGCTCCTTATCGTCGGGCCTAGCTTCTTTGTCAGTGGTGACGGGAGAGGACATACTCAAAGCTTTCTGGCCCAATATTAGCCTAAATAAATACACTTGGATTCTACGTATTCTAAGTAAGTGCATATCTTTAAATAAATGAAAAGTATATTATTGTGAAACAACGAGTGCATTATGAGCACACCATTCTAAAAGTGATGGAATGAAAATTCTAAATTATCACATGAGTATTCAGGACTTAACACGTAACCATAATAACTATTAAGGCAAGGTTCTGAGAAATCAGAAAGTTACCACATTGAGCATACCTTATTTTGACACGGTGACGTGTCTCTTGTTTTTGTTTTTTGTTTGCTAAATTGTTGACGTTTTGCTTATTCCAGATGTGCATCTGGGCTTTTTAACGGTCCTCCATGAACAACTCTTCTATATTTGCAAGCTCAATAAACGTTTATCATGAATATTATCATGTTGTTTATTACTGTTCCTATGGTGACGGTATGTTGTAAGATATCAAAGTGGTTGTCGATTGCATGAAATTATCTTTTTTTTTCTTCGTCCACATACACAGCTTTGATTTATGGACTGATATCACTAGGGTTTGCCGCGCTTGCTAGTAGCTTGAACGAGAGCATTCTCCCGGTGAGTTATATGCATCGGTTATTTGAAAAGCTTATTTCCAAAAGGAGCTAAATCCACTTTTGATGAAAAGTGAGTTATTGATATCAGACCATTGTTCACTTAAGTTCCCGTCTTTCAACAAATTATTTACCTAAATTTTGGGAGCAATTATGAAAAAAATGCACCTTCTAATATCACTTTTCCTTGGACGCCTGTACAAAATCTGGTAAACAATTTCTTTTTTCTCTGAAGTTACAAAAATGGATTTAGCACCTTTTGGAATTAAACTCCTCATTTGTTTATCTCACTATAGTAGTCAAATAATAATGATATTGAAATTAATACATTTATCAATCCAAACGATTATGCAACAAATATTCACATTAAAGGATATAAGGTCCTGTAACGACGTTTACTTGCCTTATTATAAAACTGATGGAAGTACAAAAAATAACAAAAGTTTAACGAAATATTTTCCCGGAGTTATGCATACTTTTGTGATACAGGCTTGAAAACTCAACGTAAACTGACTAGATGCTTCTTCTTTTTTTCCTTTTTTTGGGGGGAAGGGTATTATGTAATAAAACGTTTTGATTGAGATATATGAAATCTCTACCTAATGTTTTAGGCCCCTTATGATATAATTTAAACTTTAAATTAGTATATGATCCACACAAAAAGGCACTAAGGACTGCTTGTCTGAATGGAATCAATTATTATAACTACTTTTGTTTTTTAAGTTTTACATCAGATAGATATTTAACAGATACTGTTTCTACATTCATTATCTTTTCCTGCAGCTAACTATTTCTTTGTTCGGAGTATTAGGCGGTATAGTTCTTGGTGTATTCACGCTAGGGGTATTCTTTCATCGAAGCAATTCTAAGGTTTGAAGATTTGATATTTCTTAATTCTAATTCCTGTCAATCCTGATATTTCAAGATGTTTCATTTTAACGTTTGTTATTCTATATAATTCATATAAATTGTACTTGTGTTTATTTTTAAATAAGATCTGGAAATAAAACTTGAACTTGAAGTTGAAGTTGAATCCAGATGCATTGAAATCAATTCGTCATATAGGAAATTACAGGAAAACCATCAAATATCTTAGAAGGGGGTGGGGGGGGGGTAACTTTTACATACCACAACGCCAAGATCGATTTATAATTGCTAGATATTTAAAATAAAACGTTTCGTGTAAATGAGACGGGAATGAAATTTTACGATATCAAAACACTCAGATCTACAATTATTAAGAGGTGCATGATTTAGTGCAATCTACGGTAAAATACTACGTCAGAAATGTCGTTGATTAGCATATTGAATAAATATCAAGGGACTTCATTACAATATTACAGAAAAGGGGAAAACACCGGTGTAGGAAAATAAAAGGACACCAGCAATCTATATCGCTGTCAAGTATTTTGAACAGTGAGACCTCCTCTCGGTAGCGAATTTGATTGATTGATTGATTGATTTTATTCGTCAAGTATAGTACATTGAATGCTTACATAAAGCAAAATGAAACGAGAAGATACATTGACAGGATAACCCATGAAAGCCGGAAAAGGCTTATTTCCAACGGGGTCCTATATACAGAGGCAAAATTTCGGTTTCGGGGGGGGGGGGGGCGGGGCGGTCGAATTTTCTGTTGTGAATATACCTTTGTATATGTTATTTAAAAAAAGAAAATCTGCGTTATCTGGGGAATATTATTAGGCGCTTTGACAGAGGTTATCCTCAAATCTCACGATATCTGTGTAGCAGAACATTTTTTGTACGTACGGGCGGTGTTTTTGTCTGGATTATTTTGCATTATCTGTGATACATTTTAAGCTGCTTTAATCAGCCTATACTTTAATTCCACCATAATTATCTGGGTATCACGACATTTACAGTTACATATCGAGGGATCAGTGACACAAAGACGTAACTCCATTTTGGCCATGTTAAGAAAAAGTGGCTTAAGTGTCACTAAGCACTTGGGCCTTGTCTGTGTTTCACTAGCCATTGACTTCAATGGGGTGTTGGGTGGAGTTAATTCTTTTGTGTTTCCTGGAAAGCCCACATTTTTCTGAAAATGTTGATAACAAATACTCATTTTGGCAAAATATGGAGTTACGTCTTTGTGTCACTGAACCCTCGATATAATATTTTCTTTAAATGAGGGGGTTGACTATCTATTTTTTCCTTTTGTGGATACGCCCTTGCATAGACAAATATTTCTCCGTTCTCCAGGGAGCATTGGTTGGTGCCGTGATCAGCCTCATCATCGTCGTGTGGCTAAAGCTCGGATCCACGGTCTCATCCTCCGCGTCGTTAGGCGAGGGCACCCACCTGGTCGTGGACGGGTGCACGGGTCTCAATACCACGACCATAGCAGACGACGCCGTGAAGGCTACGGGGAAAACTGCGGTAACTCTCTTGATCACAACGGCCGCTCCGCAAAAAAGGTATACAGGGCGGATCCAGAAATGCCCAAAACAGAACTAAACAAAAGAAAAACCTAACCAACTAACCAACCAACCAAGAAATAAACAAACAAAAGAACATGAACTGGGGTTAGAAACGTGATTTCGGGAATCCCAACAGACCCGGGGGGAGGGGGAGGGGGGGGGGGTGGGGTGGGGGGAGGGGGGGGGGGGGTCCCGGAATCTATAACACTTTGCAAACCTACCTTTTTCGTCTTTTTGGTATTCTTTCTAATGATAATATAAAGCTGTTGTTATGCATATTTCTCCTGCGTTTCTCTTCTATATACGTATTCCATCTCATACAAAGTCACTCATACTTGTCCGCTATCTTTCTCTTTCAAACCAGGCGATTTTTAGCAGGCTTATACCGTTTATCTTACCAATACTACGCACCAATAGGACTTGTTCTTACAGTTGCTATGGGCATGATTGCTAGTGCAGTTTCAGGTAAATCACATTTATTTTGTCTCTTACATTATATAATTGATTAGTTAACCTATCAAACACAATATCAGAGAATAATCAGAACTATTACATCAAATAAAAAGATAACTTTATTTTATGAATTCAAATAGCCTACACTGTTAAATTCGCTAGTAAATGTGTGTGTATGTGTGTCTGGGTGGGGATGGGGGTATTTTAAAACAAACGAAGGCTTTTTTTTTTTATTGCAGTAAAGACATCGCCCCATTTCGGAGCCTTGGAACAGGGGCAGTGTTCCGATAATCTATGACAAGCGTCCCCCCCCCCCCCTCCCCGAGCCCGAATGAAAACAGTGTTAACACAGACTTACCGCTTTAAGTATATTTGGCTCTGAGTTTTACAAAGTTGTTTCTCTTTAGAATGATTGAACTATTATTTGTTATTTTGTTATAGTTCGTTTTAATTATGTCATATATTCATTCCATATCCCTTAATCCACATGTTAACTTATCAATCTATTTATTTATACTTTTATCTAAGTAATAATACGTTTGGTGCTATTTCTTAGGTTTTGGGGATCCATCGACTCTCGATCCTGTTCTGAAGTTATACCTAGTAGACTCATTTCTATGTTGTTTGCCTGTGTGTCTCAGAGATCTAGTTCGAAGGGACGGTCTACAAAAGGAATATGAATATCCCGACAGCGTAAGGACGACTAAATTCATTTTATTATACATCTAACCTCTTTTATTATGGAACTCATTTGATTGCTAAATTAGTGAATTAATAATGCTGTTGATAATTTAAAGATTCTTATATTATTAAGATCCTCTAGAAATCAAACGCTGAAGGAGCACTTGTGCATATGATATAGAAAACATAAAAGCATATGATTTTATGAACAAAAGAACGACAGGAGCAGGTCAGATCATTCAAAAATGAAAGAGGAAAATTATTTATATGCCCAATCAAACGAATATTTCATAGGAACTAGAAAAGAGAGAATGACATCATTGTTGTTTAGCCTTTTGTCGGCCCTTTAAAATATTGAAGCATAAAGAAATTTAATAAAAGCCATTGATTACGCATTTTGTAATTGTATGCAGTGTATAATAAAATACCTGTTGCGAAGTAATTTTATAATCAGTACAAAGACGACCAAAGTATTTTTATTTGATTTTGAAGCAAACTTTTATACAGAGGCGTATATGAAAATCCGGCCATTTGAACAATGGCATCTGTTTTTTTTGCTCGTAAAGATCGACGTCAAACCGTCAGAAACCGAAAAAGAATATTCAGCGGATCCGGAGTGCCATTCACTTACAGATATCCGGGAAGAACCGACTGAAACTTCAGATGAGGAATATCATCACCCCGACAGCGTAAGGACGATTTATTTCGTTTTATTTACATATAACCTTATTCTCAGTGGAAGTCATTTGATGGCTAAGTTACTGAATCAATGATAATGATAATATATTATTTTAAGGTCCCAAATGCTTTTGAAATCAAACACTCAAGCATAGTCTTGTGCAAAAGCTGAAAATAATAAAAACATCTGCGTCATGCATAATTGAACAACAGAAGCAACATAAAACACAACGTAACAAAAATGAAAGACAAAAATTATTTATATGCAAAATCAAACAGATATTTCAGAGTAACTAGACAACAAAGAATGAAATCAATGCTATTTTTCGCTTTTCATAGGCCCCGTTTTTTTTATTCTATCCATCAGTTTATCAATAAAAGCCATTGGTTAGGCGTTTTGTAATTATATTCAGTATATAATTAAAAACCTGTAGCGAAGTAATTTCATTATCGGCGAAAAGAAGTTAAAATGCAGTTCACTTCGATTTAGAAGCAAACTGTTATACAGAAGTGTATATGGATCCGGCCATTTAGAACACTGGCATTATTTTTTCTTCTCATAAAGATCAACGTCGAACCATCAGAAACCGAGAGGGAAGATTTGGTGGATCCGGTGCGCCATTATTTTACAGATATCCCGGAAGGACCGACTGAAAATTCAGATGTGGAATATGAATACCCCGACAGCGTAAGGACGATTTATTTCGTTTCATTCACATATAACCTTATTTACAGTGGAAGTCATTTGATCGTTATATTAGGGAACTAATGATAATGATAATATATTATTTTAAGGTTCCAAATGCTTTCGAAATCAAACACTCAAGGCATAGTCTTGTGCAAAAGATGAAATAATAAAAACACCTGCGTCATACATAAATGAACAACAGAAGCAACATACAACACAACGTATTCATAATGAAAGACAAAAATTATTTATATGCCAAACTAAACAGATATTTCAGAGTAACCAGACAACAAAGAATGCAATAAATGCTTTTTTTTCGCTTTCATACGCCCCCATCTTTTTAATCCATGCATAAGTTTATCAATAAAAGCCATTGGTTAGGCGTTTTGTAATTATATTCAGTATATAATAAAAAACCTGAAGTAATTTTTATCATCGGCGAAAAGAAGCCCAACGTTAAAATGTAGTTCACTTCGATTTTGAAGCAAACAATTATACAGATGGCGTATATTGATCCGGGAATTTAAAAAAATGGCATAATTTTGTTTTCTTCTCATACAGATCAACGTGGATCCATCAGTAACCGAAAGGGAAGTTTCGATGGATCCGGAGCGCCATTATTTTACAGATATCCGGGAAGGACCGACTGAAAATTCAGATGAGGAATATACAACTACGACGTGGACGTAATTGCAAATTGAAATAATCTCACGTACCTTATGTTGCCTATGCTGACAACGGTAGGACAAGGGTCGGGGGCGGAGTATTTTGTATGGATGCTTAGATCTCTCTCTCTCTCTCTCTCTTTCCTTCTCTCTTTATATCGCTCTCTCTCTTTCTCACCACTCCAGGTCTCCCTCTCTTACACCTTTCCCTTTCTCTTTCTTTTTAAAAAAAAAATTGAATTTGATCAATCAATTTTTATGAAATGTTTATAGCCTATGTTTGATTTATTATGTAATATTTTGTGTTATTTGAATTTGAATCGCAATTGTATTGTTTCTTTGTGAAATGGATCGCAATTCAGCCATTGCCCGAGACGATATTTTTAATAAACCATTTCTATTCTAAAACAAACTGACAAGCAATGGGCATGCTCGCCCCTAATGCTAATATGGCTCAGTCATATGGATTTCAGCTATGATGTGGTTCAATCATATCATAGGAAAGCCGATTCAAGCCGATTGAAGTGAACAATAATTATTTGAAAGATTTTCTAGAAAGTTTATCATTTACATGCAACGTAAAAATTAATTGAGCACACTGTGGGAATTTGCTATAAATACACGATATACTTCACATTACTTTCAACATTCAACAGACTAGATGTTGTAGTAAAGAATATATTTTTATTTCAAACAGATCTTCCATTCTAATAGTGAAAAATATGCAGTCTTTGTAAATGAAATATGTTACACATTATATAATTAAGTTGATCATATAAATGCAAACACTTGTTATGAAAAATAAGTTGTTTGAAATGATCATTGTTTTGATACTGTTTGAGAGTAAAAACCATGAACCAACGATTTTTCTATTTAACTTAAGAAAGTGTATTCTGTTTATTGCAGCATTCATTGACATTTTGTTTACATTCAACACAATACAATTGGTATAAAACGCAGCCTCATTGAAATGTAGTTATTCTTAAAGTTAATCTTTAGCTCTGATATTGGCATCGTATGTCGAAAAAACATGGCTATTATTTATTCTAGATTGTAAATCCTGCAGTAGATTGATTGTTTGAACCAGTAAAATAAAATAAAATTATCATAAAAACTTACTGGAAATCATCTTCAATGAAAACCGCAACTCTATCACATAGTGACATGTGTAAGCACATGGTGTCGGTCCTATACTATTCTTACCTTGATCTTCATATGCTCATCACTCAGCCCCTATACATTTTCCACCAAAATCGTTGGCACATGCCAATGATTTGTAATCTTGAACTTTCAGTGTAAGTTTTGTAGGATTCTGTGATTACCAGAACTCAAGCTTATACACACCTACAAAGTCATCTGAGTCATATTTCGTCACAACTAAATTCGACTGTAAGTAATGAATATGTTGAGTTTACTGCAGCATTTATTTATCGTACTTTTTGTATTTTAAATAATCAATGTAATATAATGTACAGTTCAATTGAGAATTTTACAATTTGAATTAAAGCTATATAATTATGATCATATTTCAAATTTTATTGAATATGAAAAGGTACTACATTTTGGGGTATTCCACTTCATTAATTGACTTGAAATACGGAATCTTACTGTACATTGCAACATCAACGATATTTTTTATTTTAATTTTAATTTTTCAATGAAGCCTCATTGTTAAATGAAATAAACGAAATATAATATACTCAATTGACGGTGTCCACTTATCTTTCTTATGATAAAATCCAAAGCAATATAATACTGCATTTTACATATACAACTTGATAAAATTGATAGCAGTTTTTTATCGGATTTTTTTATCGTAGGTTATGAAAAGTCTAGGAATTTAAATATCCTAATGTTCTGGATGAAACTTAACCTTATTTACACATTACCTCTTGCCTATGTTTGAAAGTCGTTTTCTCCATTTCTCTCACTTCCATTTGTTTAGAAATGACCTTGCCTAGCAACTATACACCAGTTTACGGTTGTATCAGTGCGCATGCGCAGACAGTTGACCTCGGGTCATTGGCCCTGAAACAAAGCCAATGACCCGAGGTCATTGGTTTTTATGCGTAAATTAAGATTGCGCCCATGCAAATGATGATGTGCGCGCACAACGCAGCGCGCAGGCAGTGATGTCATCCTAATTTGCATGGGCGCAATCTCAATTTACGCATAAATACATGACCTCTAGGTCATTGGCTTTGTTTAAAATGGCGCACACAACCGTAAACTGGTGTATCAGGTATAGACTTCAAACAAGTAAATCACTTTATGGAGATATGGCAGTGTATATCAGCAATGATAGATGACATTTCGTTTTTCCTGTGTTTTGCATTCATGTAGTACATTTTTGTAGAAACAAATATGTTTAGTTACAAATATGATACCCAATTCTCTTCGTTTAAATTAAAGTAAAGTTCACTTATTATGGCAGTGAATATTAATGATGAATTATTCATTAAGTGAAATATTTGTTGTCACTTCTGTTCAATATACCAACTATATTCGATATTAGAAAAATAGGAAAGTTACCCTGCCGGCTGGTCAGCATTTGGCTATAAGGCCGGGCGATTTGTGGCCCCAGGGTAGGTCGAGCAAAACAAAAAAATTTCCTTAGGGTGAAAATGGCATCGAAATCATCGGACCGAAGTTAGCACTTTTTTATTCATTTATTTATCTATTCAGAGCAGGATGACAAGATAGATCTTAATGCAATGTTACCGTCTTGCTGCTGGTACTAAAATCATTATATAAAAATATCACCATCAGAAATAGTTAACGAAAATGAATCAATACTGTAATGAAAATTATGAAAGGAAGAAAGATTACAAGAAAGAAAATTCGAAGTATGACGAATATAAAGAACATTCGAAAGAAAAACATTAATTCCTTTTAGAGAGTACAACCATAACTGACCAAAACTACAAATGTAATTAGTCCACCCCGTATATTTGTCTATCAAGTCAAACCGTTGTATTGAACTTCTGGGGGTGTTTGTCATTTAATGACTCGATCATCTTTTTCTTCTCCTCGCCGTTGATCTCCTTCACATTCTCTTTCACACCATTGAAGTACTTCATATCCTTTACGTCATCAACCTCGTCATCGTCCTGAGATAATAAAAACAAATAAAACAACAACTTCAATGGTAAATGATCCAAAATCAGGGACGTATCCAGAAACGTGTAAACAGGGGACTCACTGCTTCTTGTAATTTTTCCTGGATTTTTAAGAATGCATTTATAAACCAATCTTGATGCAGGTCACAGGGGGGAGAGATCACTAATAATTATATTTCGAACATAATTATTTTGCGATAATTTTTTTTTTCTCACCAAAAAGGTCTTCAAATACTATTTTACAATGGTAAAAAAAAGGAAAATCAAGATTGGATGGACTTATGCAAATGTGGCATGGGAATTTCAAAATCAATTTGTATACTGAACCAGTAATCTGCACTTTGCAAGCACATAATCTATGGAGCAAATGGCGTTTTGCTTACATCATCTTTCGCCTTGTCCATTCCACACCGCATCCTTCTCTTAAGTGACTCTGGAAAGCAACAGAAGAGGGCGTCTGTCAAGTTGTTCTTCAGTTCCGGCTTGATGGTGTCTGGGTCGGTGAAACCTGCAACAGAAGAACAAAAAAAAAAAAAAAAAGGGAAATGGTATAGAGAGAGAGAGAGAGAGGGGGGGGGGTGAAATTCTGTGTTGCACAAAACAACCCCTTTAAATTGATGTCTATTGTTTTGTGCTAATCGTGCAAGGGTGTCGATTTGTATCCGCGGTTCGGGGGGATGATATAGGTGCCAACATATTTTCGGCAATGGATCAAAGCAACCAAGAGGTAGAAGCCTGCCGCAGGTTGCACCCCCTCCCTTCCAAGTTATTAACTGTTTCAAGTCCCCCTCAATAAAGATAACATTTCAGAGAATATAAGAGTGGTAATAAAGATAATAAAATGCTAAATGTTAGTCCTGACTCTTGCCTGCAGTGTAGGCCTACTAGACTGATATCATCTATTTTTAAACGAAATTTAGACATTTTACTCCCCAAAAATCCAATGGTGAGGGATATCAACTTGTGAAAGTATTATGTTACCAGTGGGCAAATGCATTTATAAGCAGCGCTCAAAATACACGGGGGCGGTGGGCGATTCGCCCCTGTGAGCTCCATAATCGCTCCCGTCAGGTTGCTCACGGGGGCGATTGCAAAATGAAAATCGCCCCCGTGGAATTATGAAATAAAGATTATCTTTTCTGATATAACTTTAACACAATATTGAGTATCAATTTTCAAACCTTAAACCAATGAAATGGAACTTAGATGGCGCTTTCTCTCCCATCTCTATGAGTATTACCGATACAAACAACGGAAGCTCGCAGTGCAGCTAATGCCGTCAGCAGTGGCTATACTGCGCCGGTAGAACCGGTGTGCACGCTGGCGCCCAATATCTGCTGGAGCTGGAGACGATCGCGCTAGGATTGAAACATGGAGAAGTTTTTCGTTGTGAAAAGTGTGAATCCTCTGAAATCTGGTTATTCTAAAAGACCAGCAAATAATGTAACTCGACCTGTAAACCAATATTAAGAAGACGAACCCATTCATCGTGAAAAACCCATTCCAATATTCTGTGTAAGGAGATCTACCCCCAAAAAAGTTCTCAGTAAATGAAAAACATATTGCTTTTGGTTCTTCATTTGACTCTCTTTCTTCTCTAATTAAACCAACTGAACCCTCTGCGGGAAACTCAATTCAATGAAACAGAATATCACTGATGCAAAATTTGGTTCTCAAACTGACAGAAAATTTCCACTCCTGATCTCATACAAACTGTCTGTTTCAGGGGCGGCCGAGCGACTTCCAAAGGGGGGGGGGGGGGGCACCAAGAAAAAAGGGCACCTACAAAGGGAAATCTTAAAGCGAAAATATGCATTTTTTAAAGACATTGGTATATATACCCTTACATTGTAATTAGAATATTTGCTTCACTTTATACACCATACAAGATACTGCTTAAGCATCATGCTTTGCAGTAGGGTGTGATGGTCTGAAAAATTATTTGCGAGCGAGCGAAGCGAGCGAGGAAAAATTTAAAGATTTGTGAGGTCGCACGGTGCAAAAAATACAAAGAGTATTGTCAAAGGTGAAATTCTTACACCCTCAAAAAGAGGCACTCACCAGGGAAAAAAAAATCAGTCATGAGAATAGGGAATGGGCATTTGTCGACGGAAAATGGGCTCCCATCAGACTTTGATAGGGGCATTTATAAAAGGTGAAAAGGGGCATTTATGAAAAGGGATAGGTCCCTTATTAGAAACAAAAAGGGCACGTAACATTGTTAAAAGGAAAATTATTATAGGTGAAAAGAGGCACTTATCGCACCTGAAAAGGGGCAATGCCCAAATATGAAAAGGGGCACTTATGTGAATGAAAAAGGGCTCTTATAAGAAAGGAAAATGTTCACTAGTTAAAAGAAAATGATTTTAAAGGGGCATTTATACATGTAGGAGTAAAGGGGGCACTTATCTGAAGTGAAAAGGAGTAACTTCTTGAACCTAAACAGAGGAAAATTATCATTATCTCCATTTGCTATCAAAAGATTTTTCTCCTTTCGGAAAACAGGTCTTCAAATGTTTTACATGTAGAGATATAAATAAACAAAGAAATGGATGAAATCAATAAAAAAAAAAAAATACAAAATACAAAATAGTATGAATCGGGGAACAAACTGAAAGTTTCGTCTCCTACATGCTGCCATTTGGACAAAACCGTCTTTCTCTTCAATGATACAATATTTTATTTTACTTATATTATACAATACTTTACTTGCATTATGAAGAAAAAAACGCATCATCACCCCCCCCCCCCCCATAGCTTTAACTATCACTTCAAATTGAACTGGCCAAAAGTCATGTGATATTCTTGCTCAGATGCTTTCTTTTACCTTTCAGAGTTCTTTATATGGAGGAATCGGTTGATAATTTATTCTTGGCAATAATTCCTGAATTAAAAGAGTAAGTTAAACAAATACACGACTGTAACTTTTAGCGCGTTTAAAAAAAATGTTTAGGAAATATCAGGAAATAAAATGAGTGAAAAAACAAACAAATAAAGATACAATGACGTGAATTTTAAAAAGGGTGAACGGAAACAACATAATAACTAGTGAACTATCTTATAGGTCTTAGCAAAATGTATATATTGATGGTCATCTTGCGAGTAATAACCATTAACTACTCTCATTGGGCTCTCATCATTAATTTTTCTCTTAATTTTTTTAATTCTTATGGTGAATTATTGGGGGGATGATTGTACAGGCCATGCCCCCGACCGGAAATATTGGGGGATATATTCCCCCCCCCCCCCATCCCCCGGGATTGACACCCATGTAATCGTGGCAAACGAGCAATTGATCACATTGGCACTTGTGGCAAAGGAAAGGTCCTTTATAATAAAAGACAATTACCTGTAATCTTGCTAACAATACCCCCGACTGTTATACAGATGACGACACCGACAAAGGAGTAGTACAGGAAGGATATGGCATAGAAATCTGCTATGCCGGAGCTACAAAAGAAGAAAAAATGTCAAAATAGAAGGGAAGGTCTTGAGAACACGATCGCAACTAGTAAAAAAAAAATCTACCTTAAGCAATTTTAATAGCCTTTTACGTCAGCTTCTGAGATCTTAACATGCTTTCGATGGGACATAAAATTGGGTAATGGAATAGCCCTTGAGCTCATTTTTCAAACGTAGTTACGATCATGCTTAAAGGGATAGTTGAGTTCTGTGTTCAGACCGCAAATGCATTCCAGGTGCATGGCTATCGCTCTTATTTTTATCTATGACATTTCTAGTGACCTAAAATTGCTATGAAGCTAATTTAGACTCAAAAATGTGTAAAATTTAGCCAATACGATCATACCAATTCAGCTCCATTTTCAAGAAAATACGGTCACCGTTAATTAATTAATGAATTAAAAATAACAATACATGGGCCGGCTGGTTGTGCGTAATATAACCAACACGAAAAGGCAAATAAAAAAAAATTCCAATATCGGCATTGGCTAAAATACAACGTAAAAGGCGCTATTTCGTTTTTTTCAACGGCTTTTTCAAATTATCGAATATTTGTGGTGGTACACAAATATTAGAGATCGTAATATTTATGGATATTTCAGCCGTCTCTGAACCGATTTAGATAAAAAAAAAAGATGATTTTGTCATTTAAATTGTATGTTCTTTCAAATTTGACACTCAGTTTTCATTATCTTACACAAATTATTTTGTGTACCGCCCTCTGCAACAGAACTCACTGGCTATTCCTTTAAAGAGAAATCTTATTTCTTAGTTCATTTGAGAGAAAGCTCAAATTTTTCTTATCATCTTCTTATCAATAGTTTTTCACGATTCATTTAGTTGTTTTAAATGATTTATTTGATTCTCAGCAACTGTTTTAATTTACTTTTTTTCTTCCGAAGAAATAATGTTGAGAACAAAACGTGTCAAACTGTAATAGGCTTTTAATGATGGTCCTTAATTAGTTTTTTTTTTTGTGTATGTATTCTTTCGAATAATATACCTTGTATTCTACCCTGAAATGCTTGACGTCATATAAACTACTTTCATGTAATAAATATATTCGGAACTAATATCACCGAATGACAACTCTGTCATTGCTTTAAAGGTATAGACCAGTTCTGGTCATGTGATTGTATTGTGAAAGAAACGTTGTGGAATCGATCGGAAAAGGTTGATCATCTAGCATATAAGTATTGGTTTGTACTGCAAGGTTCTGGAATCATCAAAATGATAAGAAATTTGGCCCAGTTTTGGTAAATTAAAAGCACTGTACACATAAAGATGTATATGGGACTACGCGACACGTGCGCGATATCTATCCGGTCCCGATAGATATAATAATTACCATATGAATTAGTAGGCGGTTTCCCAGCAAATTTGTTATCATCAAGTATTAGTCAAAACATATTCTTTCACATGATTGCTAATAAAATCTTCCATTTCATTTTTTGAGAGGGGGGCGTTTCCAAAACTGGTCTTTACCTTTAAGCTATTATTTTTAAATACAGCATTGCAAAAAGTAACCTTATTATACTCATCTTTTAAGTTTGGGGTATACTCAATTTTACAAACAAATATCTGCTTTTGTCTTAGGTGTTGACACTGCTTCAAAAATCACTGACAGATAGTTATATTATTTAACATGTGTATTAAAGGACACAAGAAAACAGAAATACCTTCTTATTTGCCACAAGGGGGATTAAGTGTGAATATTCAGGTTGCATTAAAATTGTATAAACCGAACGGGCGGGTGTGTGAGTGTGTGTGGGGGGGGGGTAGCTTACTTGGACACTGGTTCACCCTCTGGGAGAGAGGAGATGTCTGTGTAAGGTGCTGATATGGTCGTCTCTGACCATTCTGCTCCATTGGTCAGCATTGAATCGGTGGTGTTGGGGACTGGGCATCCTTCGACGGAGAGGGAGTTCTTTCCTCTGGACGAGGGGTACATCATGGAGCCGATTTTTATCCAGCCGACGAAGAGGACGCTTGTAATCAAGCCCGCGATGGCTCCCTTTAAACAGGAGAGGGAAGGTTACGATTTTATCATAAAAACAACAATAATTATGATAATAATGATGATGATAATTATGATGATGATGATTAAGATGATAATAATAATTATGACGATACCAATAACAATGGTATTAAAAATGAAGGATTGAAACCCTCTTATAGATTTGTATTTTGAGGGATCCTTTACGGCTTTTTAACTTTGTTAAATTCACAAAACTGGCTTAGAACCAAATATTAGTCGAAAGTCGTAAACTAGGAAATCAATACCAAGTATTTTTTAATTTTTCACTTTTTTAATATTTGCTCGGAACCAACATTTTGACAATTATGGAACCTGACTTATTTCATTTATCAAGGACCAGAACACATTTTCCCAATCATATTTTCACTTTTACCGGACCGAAACTATGAAATTCACTTCCCTTAATCTAAGTCAACTGAAAAGTATTTATTCCTTTAAACGCAAGCTTTTTGCCCAGGGGCCTTCAATTCACAAGCCTTTGGCTTCCATGTCGGCCTCTGCATTTCAAAAACATGTTTTTCTTGTTCTGTTGAGATGTTTTTTTTGGTTTTTTTTTGTGCCTCTAATGAGGTGTTTATTTACATTCAAACATAAAAATAAAGTTGTGAGAACAAATACAATTGACGCACAATGTTATCAATAAAATCACATTTTTTTTCTTCTCAACTATACAATATTTTCATCTAAAGTGCTTGTAACAGTTTCTTTGGCAATCTCTGGTCTGGCTTTTAAGCTCCTGAATTACAACAATTCTGTTTTCGATTTCTTTTTCAAATACGTATCTTAGTTTGAAACAGTTTTCATTAAATCCATACTTATTCCGGTTGACTAACATTTTGTATATACACCAGAATGCGATCGTTGTTACAACGTCTATCTCGCTATTAATATTAATCTTAAGTAAACAGGAGATATCCATGACAAAATCAATATTAAAAGTGTACTTTACAACATGTTTTATATAATCAAAGAAATTCTTATTCTGTTCACATTCGATAAACACATGCATTTTGTCCTCTATGACATGGCTGTTGAGATGTTTGTTTACTTTAACAAAATATCGAATTATGCAATTTCTCATACATTATGGAATAATTTACTTAATTCATAGTTCGTTATAATCCAAATAAAGTTGTACATTTGTTCATTGTAAGTTTGTTTAAACTAATTATCATATTGCCCTTCATAAAAATGCCAACATGAAATATTGTCTAATTTTATGTTTGGAAATGAAAATCTAATCAAATCAAATGAAATTGAAAACAAAGAATTCGATTTCTTCATGCAAACATTCTTACTATACCTTGTTATTATTGCAATGTCAATGCAATTGACCTATTTTGTTTAAGAATCCATTCAGGACGGAGTGTGAATTTTATTAACCTTCTGAAAGAAATAAAAGCACTGGAAACAGTTTCTTACCTTTGAGTTGCATCGATGCATAAATATACCAAGTAAGAATACACCAATAATGCCACCATATGTTATTCCGATTATTGAAAGACACAGCTATGACGAAGGAAAATGAATATAGAATGGAATAATAAAATGCAGTTAATATAATAAAATGCCGAGAATTACCTTCAGCAATTAGCAAAATGTCTTTATCTAAAATTTTACCTTTATTCGAGACCAACAAGTATATATATATGCTTTTTGTTGGCCTATATTTAAAACATATTATAGTTAAAGCGGAGTTCAATTACGATCAGCGTCTTCATCATAAACTGAATTAGGCCTATATCTGAAGTCTACTCCTAGTAAATACTGTATTTACTGGGAGTAGAACCAAATTAATAAACACACAAATCTGTATTTGAACATGTACAAATATCGGACTCTGGACGAACGACCATAAATTACTCTTTTTACTACTTTGATCACCTGTAAAACTCCTTGGCCCAAATGACTTGCAAGAAAGGCAAAGGCGATGCTCACTAAACCGTACACCAGAGCTGCGAATGAAATGATTCATTATGTGACATAGATAATACACGTTATTCTCAGATAATGTTTCATCATATTCTTACAAATTGTGTAAGTTTGAATCAGTAAATAAAAAAATTAATACATTTGCCTTCTTTGTTGGATATATATTAAAGGAAATACAATAAGTGAGGTGAGAGAGGGAAAGAGGTCCCATCATATTTCTCTCAGTTAAAGATAAACTTGAGTTCTGGTAAAAAAAGAAAATGAATTCTCACAGAATCTAACGAAACTTACACTGAATGTTCAAGATTACAAATAAATGTCATGTGCCAAACAATTTTGGAAGAAAATGTATACTGGCTGAGTAATGAGTATAGAAAGATAAGGAAATCAGGGTAGTACTAGCCCCGACATCATGTGTGTTGTCCCATATACATCTTTCTGTGTAAGTGATTGTTACTTTACCAAGACTCAAATTTATGATGATTTTGATGACTCCAGAACCTTGCATTACACACCATTACTTACATGCTATACGATCAACTTTTCTGATCCATTCCACACCTTTTCTTTCACAATGCAATCGCATTACCAGAACTCAAGTTTATCTTTAAATCAGTACTCTTATATTGACCACTTTTCTTTATATTATTTATTATGTATTATTGATTGTTATCTTATCACACAAAAAATGCTTGTACTTTATATTGAAATGTATATGCAGGTTCTAGGACACCTACCCCTTGGACATCCATCCCGGATAACCACCCCCAGTCAACTACCCCCCCCCCCCCAACCCCGGACAACCACCCCAAGTACAACCACCCCCTAGGACAACGACCCCCTGGACAACTAACCCCCGGACAACTACCCACCGGATAACCATCTATAGGATGTAGTTATCCAGGGGTAGTTGTCTTAGGGATGGTTGTATGGGGGTTGTTGTCCGGGGTAGTTTTCCCGGGGGTTAGTCATCCTAGAGGGTGGTTGCCCTAGGGGGTAGTTGTCCTAGGTGGCAGTTGTCCTAGGGGGCAGTTGACTGGGGTTGATTATCCGGGGGTGGATGTCCCAGGGGTTAGTCATCCTAGAGGGTGGTTGCCCTAGGGGGTAGTTATCATAGGGGGCAGTTGTCCTGAGGGGGCAGTTGACTGGGGGTGATTATTCGGGGGTGGATGTCCAGGGGGTAGGTGTCCGGATACGGTATATTTAACATGTCATGTAACAAGAATAACAGAGAGTGAGAGAGAGAGAGAGGGCGAAAGCCCTACATGTATCACGGTCAGTAAAATGACGCCTCGTGTACCGGGCATTACAGAATAACTGGTTTTACCGAGCAACTTGATGACCTTGGTATATTTCCTTGGGCTGATGTTCGGCCACAGCACCTTCACGCCATCCTCTCCTGATAGAGCTGCCAGCGAGTTCACCCCAGACGACAGTGTGCTGTGAATATCACATTTTAATTTCAAATTGAATCAGAATAGTGATGTAAACATTTGTTAAAGGCATCGTTTAACAATGTTTGCAGTTCTACAAATCTAAGATGCGTGGCCCTTCGTGTTATCAGTGTCTGTGATACGGTGTAATATTGAAGCCCTAAATAAATTGCGCTTCAAAATGGTCATAAAGTGCCTCAAAAAAGTAAAAATCTTTAAGTGACCGGTTTCACCATATTCTTTTCCTCCAATAGAATGTAGTGTTACAAAAAACATTTGGAAGACAGTTTTTGAAATTTCGATTTCCAATCATAAATATCTTGATAATCAGACAGGTGATAGACTTGTAAAAGTCATGGGATTCCTGACTGACCTTAAAATGTTTATAATCATGATTGCAGCATTAGCCATCTCCAGGATTTCGTTTAGAATCTGAGGCAAAGATACTCACTCCCTTTACAGAAAAAATGCATTCTACAGGCTTTCAGCTATTTGCAAATAGTGATATATTCTTATTTTTTCTCTGACAAAAAAAAGGCAGATCCGAGAATTCGTAAATTAAAAATAGACTTAAGCGAGGTAGTCCTTTGTATGTGTTATCTAATAGGTTGATAACGAAATTACAAGAATTAATCTACAATGTACCAATTAAAAGAGGATAATAAAATGTAAATGTGCCATTATTTTCATTTTCAAGCTGATAAACTGATATTCAGGTAACATAAAATTCTATATGTATTTAGTCTACCAACAGCACAACTTCCGGTGACCTAACTATTCACCCTCTACTGGCTATGCATGTCTACGTGCTTCCGCAATGTGAAAAAATTGCTCAGAGTATATGTACCTAATAGAAGCACTGACGACAGCAGACAGGAAGAGACCAGGTAGACCGGGCATATCACCAAACAAATCCATCACCATCAATGGCATAATCTGGAAAGATAAAATGACACAGGGAAAGTTGTCACCAGGACTTTGACATAGTTGGGACAAATAGTGCCTTCCACTATCACCTGTGATGGTGGTTGTCGATATTGCGTGAGCTCGCTCGCTGGCGGCGCGTAATATGTATACATGTCGTAGCAATGGAAGAATCCCTCGTCACTAAGCGACCCTAACAACCTGTGCTGCTGGTCAATTTTAACGCAGCAATTCAAATTATAATAGATAGATGGACATAAATTCTATGTTGGCAATATGATAGCTACATAGTTAGACTATTAACTAAATCGCCCTATAAGATAATTCGTCTATTACAGCAGTTGATTCATTTGCTGATCTTGTACACTGACTGTACACCTTCAAAGTTGTTCATACATGCATTGTAGGAAATGGTCCATGCCCTAAAACTACTATCCCTCTCTTAAAATAGAAAGGAAAAAAAGACTATCACAGACTAACAAACATTGCATTTCTTTTCTGAAAGGCTAAGTCCACTCAAAAAATATTGTGCTTTCATAGATGCAGTAAAACAAGAAAAACAGAGCAAAATAAATGTGTGTAAAATCGGATAACTAATAAGAAAGTTATGAATTTCTTTTGAAGTATGAAAAACTATGGAATGTAGAAAATCACTACACAAATTGCCAATTTGGTTATCAATTTGTGACGTCATTGCTTTATATATTTTTATCCCATTCATTTCCCTTTTATCCCCCCAAATTCGATTTCTCCATGCCTTTGCCCAGGTGATATGATTTGTATGATATTGCGTGAATGACATTCCACAAAATCTTTTATGAACTTTGAAGAGTTGATACTATTTCCTGAATATTGTATATTCATTATCATTGATTTTTATATATTTATAGATTATCAAAATTCACATTTTTTATAATTTAACCAACAAAAGTTACTCTATATTAGTGCATCCACACAAACACATATTACTATCAATATAACTTGGATGCTGGTATGAGGAAATAAAAATGTTAAGGGGAAGATTCTTCATATTATCAATATACAGAAAACAATTAGTGGATAGTGAGGAAATGACGTCACAAACTCATGAGTTTGTTGCCAATAATATTTGTCTTGTGATTTTCAAAGTTTTCTTGATACTAATAATTCTTAACTGTCTTATTATTTATCCGATTTTGCTCAAACTGTTTTAAATTGGTTTGTCTGATTTTTCCCCATCTATTAGAAGTAAGTTATTTTTGGAGTGGACTTGCCCTTTAATCCTTTTTACACATAAGACATGATTTATCATATGGATTGGACATATTTGGCCGTTGTAGACAGGTTGAGTAATAGTTACCTGATCCTTGGACATGACGACGCCCTGTGTATAAGGGTCGCAATCTACGTAGTAAACGTACATGACTACGCCCGAGAAGATGCATAGTCCGACCGTAAAAAATTTGATGATCGTAGCTAGAACAATAGCCCTGCACGTAAAAACAAACAAATCAACACCATCAAATTTGTAGTATTTCAAAGCTTACAATTTTTGACATTCATTTCAGGACAAATCCCCCAGCACTCAATTTCTCAATTTCAACTGCAAGAACAGTTTTTTTCAATTTACATTTTCAGAAAACAAAATAAAAATGTTTGCTCTTTAAATGAATCGAATCAATATCTCATCGATTTGGTGATTTTCGAAACCTCAAAGTATACACTATGTCCTATTATAAAATGATGACGTGGATCCTAATCAAATGATTGGTTGAAAGCGTACACGTGACCATGCATTTATTTTGCCTAACGTGAAAACTACTGGTCATTATCCTATGGTAATGAACGGTCATGGGCCATCATGTTTTGCGATCGTAACCAATTAGATTTCATCGTTTTACTTTTACTCGCAAAATGGCTGCCGCGGAATTTAAAACGCCTACGTTTGAAATGCTTTTGACTGAAGAAATGAGGGTGAATGATGAGGGTGAATAATCAAATAACAAAGATCCACGTCATAATTTTATAAAACAAATAATCCACAGCATTTTGTTCGGGCATTAGTAGAATTACCCACACTCGGTACATTTGAAACACAGGTACAAACACCCTCGGCTATCGCCTCGGGCGTGTTAGACTGTTCCAAAGGTACCTTGTGTGGGTAATTCTTACTAATGCCCTCACTGCAGTGCACTATTTTGTATATTATTGTACTACTTATATTGCTTCAAGAAAGTTTCTTTCAAAATTGTATTGAAATAAAAAATAAATATTTTATTATTTTACCGCTCTTTCAGATATGAGACAGTACAACGCAGGTTTTTTGCTTTTTGTTTAATCTTCTTTTAAATTTAAATTTTACAACATGTAAATAAATGTCAACTACGAGCAACAAAGGTCCTACGCGTATTCACCTAGCCCTGTGTTATAAGATCATAGCAAATATGTAGCAAACTACACTTTAGGTCATTACAAAGAAAACAAAACAAAACCGCCGCGATTTACCGCGTTATAGCCTACATAATATACAAATGTTGACTGCTTTGAGGGGCACGGTGAAAACTATGGCCCGAGGTGAGCTCACAACTGTGCTATTCCCCGAGACGACAGTCGAGGGGCATAGCGCAGTTGTGAGATCACCGAGGGACGCGAAAAAGAAGCAGTCAACATTTGTTTTATATACCACATCCGTCTTGAGCTCAGAAATTAATTTCAAAAACAAATAAAATACGGCACCGTAACATAATTCTCATCGATTGCTCTTTCGAAATTTCGTTCGGTGTACAAGCGTATCTAAATTGCCATAGCTACGCGCGCGCGTACAAAGACATAATTCCATGCCCGGTCAATATTTTTCACTATACCGCCCAGCAGTCCATAGTGATGCCCGCAAATTAGACCAATCAGAGGTCAGAATCTAGACATGCGGTATATAAACAAGACTTAAGACTCGTTCAGATGTTTTTATGATGCCGTAAAACTATAATAGTTTCACATTTCTATATATTATAACGCAGAGCTTATTGATTACGCTCAAGTCCTTTGTTGCACGCAGTTGCTCTTCATAATACTCGTTTTAAAAACAACGCGATTATATAGGCATTTAAGCACACCAAATTTGAACAAGGCTTAGGGGTCTGTTTGGCGGTATGAACGGAGCATACTACTCACTGTGTAGCTCTTTTTCTTGATCCGCATGAAAACAGTCTCTGGATGACAGTTTGGTTGATTCCAGTTCCAATGTTCACTGTTAACATCCCAATCATTATGCTCCATACAGAATAGGGGACTCGCGGATCTGCACCAAACCTGGGTTAGAATGATAATGATGTTGCTGATGATGATATTATTATATGAAGTAGGAGCGAACATGGGTCTGGATTCATCAACTACCAAAGATCAATTGCCAATCTAATCAATAGGCCTACCTCGTAAAGTCCCTCTCATAACTTCACGAGCTTTTAAGACTCCTCCCTTTAACACATCTTCTGAAACTGGTGACAATTTAAATAGCACCCTTTGCAGGGTTGATACCTGTCTCATTATTTACTCTGTAATTGGAAACGCACGGTTTGCATGCAATAATAAGGTCGGTTTTGTAAGGTAACTCATTTACGTGTATGATGATAAATGGTCCCAACAGGCTTCCTTGGGGAACACATCTTCCATCTTGCTCACTTTGAATGGTAAAACATTATTGATCCGTGTTCAGGTGTGGAAAAGATAAATTAGGGGCGTGGGTTTTACTTTGTGGATGAATTACAAGAGGATAAGTGCATCCAGCTAAGAGCGGGTTTGGTAGGGGGTAGTATCACCTTTTTTTTTTTCGGTGATCCAACAATTGCTCCGGCGACAACTTTGCCGGATTTCGTTTTATCAAGATAACAGGATGATCTTAGCAATTGATTTTGAGGTTAGGTTTAGGTGTAGGGTTAGGAATGGGTATTTTACTAGGTCTAGGCTTAATGTCAAGAATTAAGTTATTGTGTGGAATTGACCACGGAAAAATTACAGAGAAAATTGGGTCGTACAACCCGTTTTTCATATTGTCTTCCCCATGTCTCTCCCTCTCTCTCTCTCTCTCTCTCTCTCTTTATTTTCAAAGAGAATGGGGGCGCCATGTGCCGCCCCCTACCCTTCTAGCAACGCCACTGGATGGCTTGATATACCCACCTGTCAATTTTGATCCTCCCCCCTTCACGACCAATCCTAAAGACCTCGCCGAGGCCGCCGACGTCGATGGTGCCCTTGATGACGACTGCAGCTACTCCGAGCAGGATGATGATGGCCTGTAGAGTATCCGTCCACAATACCGCTCTCATCCCGCCCTAGTTTATATTAATAAAGTAACAATGATCTTGATGATGATGAAGATGATCTTATTTTATTTATTTATTTATTTATTTATCAATTTATTTTATTTATATATTATTATTATCATTATCAATATATCATAATATTATTATTTTTTTTTTTTTTTTTTGGGGGGGGGGGGCGCTTTGGTTTTCATTTGTTACCAAGATTTATATTACTGTTAGCAATATGTTGATAATAGTAATAACAATAACATTATCATTTAATTAATAAATCAATCAGAAAGAATTTTAATCGATTTAAATCCATATCATTTGAGGAATATACCTTTTTTTGGTTTATTACAATGGTTTCATTCCAGTAGTAGAATTCGTAAGACTTTTACAGTCTTTATCTATTTAATAATGAGTGCATGATAGTAACACAACTATCAACAGAGAACAGAGACGGCAAAGAAACCAAAAAGATAATTTAAAAGTTTCTTTGGGACACAGTAACGTCTCTTTGTATGATTTGATAACCTACCACTGTCGTGTAGAATATGCAGACCAAACCCGTAGAAACAACACAAGCCCACAGGTCCATCCCGGTTACTAAATTATGCAAAAAAGAAAAATTGTTGAAATGTGAAGAAATTAAATCATTGGAGAAGACAGAAGAAGAAGATTAAGAAGAAGAGCAAGAGGATGAAGAGGAAGAAGAAGAAGACGAAGAAGAAAACTCCTCTCCGAATTTGAAATAAGCGGATGTTTTTACAAAAGTCTTTTGGGGGATTTCGAAAAGAGTTGGTTCATTCACTTGAATCTCAATCCAAGAGTTGAGGGTTCGACACTAACGTCCTTATGCAAGGCATTAATCCGTATTTGCCACTCTCCACCAAGGTGTTAAATTGTAACTGGCAATACCCGAGGTAATGGGGCTCCCACAAAGAACAGCATTGATGTTAATGCGGCTTCCCTTGCTGGTTAAACTAAAAACTCTTATGTTTTGATTATTACTATATGTATATCCCGATTTGTTTTGTTTTGTTATATTGAAAACATTATAAATAGAAGGAGAGGGGGAGGGATAGTGGACAGGATATGAGCTCATCTGGTAAATATAAATAATATAAATGGTGTAGATAACAAAAACAGTATTCGGCTTCATTTTACTGACCTGCATTTATAGCCAGTGCTGGTGTATACATTGCAATCCCCATGTACATTATCTGTTAATGAAATCATTGCCAAAACAAATACTGTTAAATTGATATACACACAATAACAAGATGTAAATATCCGACCTTTGTCCCATAAAATGAGTAATGCATTGCAAATACTGAACTCAAATAAAGAGCGAACTCTATCTTTATTTTCATTCAATAAAAAACTACTTACTACGTTGCATTTTATTCACTTCCGAATGCCTTACTCTCCTTCTTTTTCGTGTGGATGTAACCAGTATCCAAATCGTTAAAAAAATGATTATGCTCAAACCGGATTTATCTTTCGTATTTTAGTACACTGAAAACAATTCTTGGTGTAAGAGATATTGTTATGAAATAGTTTATGAATAGTTATGAAAATAATTATTTAAAAAAAAAAAACATTTGAGTAATTTCGTGTAACCAAAATGCAATAGGGATGCTTTTGAAAATTAAATACTTTCTGATGAGCAAGGGATTATAGAGCCATCATAATTTTAAGGAGATAGTTTACTTCTCCTGAGGAAGATTTCAGAATTTTAAGATGCCCTTTTGGTTGAAAATTTAGAAAGGGGCACACCTTGCTTGTGGGTACTTCATGCATGCCACATTGATTTAAAAAGGGGGCACTTGCCAGTTATGCCCTTTAGCCCATACCAATTTTCATCTGCCCATGTCCCTCCAGCAAGCCGATGCTATCGGCGGACTTACCGTTTGGAATGAAAATATAATTGTGCAGATAGTTCTAACTGTTCGGTTGAACCGCATCTCAAGGTACTGCATGGAGATGAAATACAATTCATGAAATCTTAAAGTGACTCGGTAACATTGTTGAAGGTTGATGAAAAATTGCTTAATTTTTGTATAAAATGTTACTTACTATATTACTTCTACTATACTAACCCTCTGACATGCAAAAAAATCCTGAACAAATTCTCAAACCACAAAGATATTTATGGTTTTCTTTGAAGGCGTCGATGGGAGGCACCCTCTAACAGTGATTAACAGTAAATTCTCCCAACCATTTTTGAATTTTCCCAACCGTTTTTTCATGAGAAAAATACATAAAACAGGCTATAAAAATCTGTCAACACTTAACTGTCTGGAATGGAATGTAGAGCCATTTTATTGATTTGTGACGATTTACATTCACCTAAAATGTAATTAAATTGGCCTTGTCTTGATGCTGAACAGGCTTTGACAAGTAGCAGAATAGAAGTAGAATAATATAGTTGGGAGAATTAAGGAATCGATCAGATCAGTTTTTCCCAATTTGTACCATGAATAATGATCCGTTTTCACTCAAATTTTCAGATTATCTTTAATTGTACATCTAGCATTGAAGTCACTACCTTAGCATCACTATCTCTCATCTGAACAATGTTACCAAGTCCCTTTAAGTGAAATATTATCAGTGCGTTTATCAAAACTATCAAGAATAGTAAAGGCAGTTTTCACAGGAATGCCCGTAGTAAATAATTAAACCGAAGACTCTCGCTTTAAAATTCTACCGTAAACTAAATCAGTTTAAAATAGGTCATAGATTATCATTATTGTATTCATTTATATTTACTATTTATATGTGTATTTTTATCGAACTGAGTTATTGTAAAAAATAAAAAGGAGAAAAAGTTTCTCACTTAAGTTTTTATGACTGTCAAGATTTTAAAATCAATAAACCACTTGTCTCATAAAGTATATTATTATGATGCCATGCAAATAAACCTTGCAATTTATTTGTTTACCAAGTTCTGGATACTTAGCCAAAGATACGTACGTGATGATTTGGCGATTACTATACACGTCAAAAGGACAATGTTTGGAGGTCAATGCCACGCACATGTTTGTAGACTTAAGATGGGGTCAATAATTCAGTAGAGTCCATCACGACAAGTAATGGAGATTTATGAAGTGGCCGAGGAAATGGCTTCAAAGTGAAAACAAATACAGTTTTTTTCGCAAGTGGCGTACGCAGGATTTTTTCAAGGAGGGTGTTTGAAAATTGAAAATCGCGCCGACCGATGACACTCAGTGAGGGGGAAGGGGGGGGGGGGTAGTGAGCAATATTCTTAATTTTTTGTTTGCCTCCCGTAATTTGAAAGTTGCCCTGGGAGGGGAGTTACTCAGCACAGCCCCCCCCCCCCCCATTGAGCAAAACAAATTGAGGGGGGGGTAACCCAAAATACACCCCCCCCCCCCCCTGCGTACGCGCCTGGTTATCGCTATGAACTTGAATCGAGCTGACCGCCATATAATTATATAATATTGACTGGCCTTGAGGGGCCGGTATATCAGAAATATTGACCAAGCTCAGATCATATTGCCCCGAGTCGAAAGACGAGGGCAATATGGTCTTAGCGCGGTAAATATTTCTGATATCTCCCGAAAGTAAAGCCAGACAATATTTGTATTGTTATCCAAATCAGACATCTAGAGCAAATACAGAAAACCACCATGACAATCTTAAAGAACTGAACAAACTTTGTCAAAACCAGCACTTTGCATCCCGCGGCTTGACACAATTTTCGTTACACTGCAAACAGTGTGCAATTGGTGTGATTATTACGTCACAATAGAGTGCGCGCAAAGTGCACAGGTTCTCGTACGCATAATAGATGCGCAATGAAAATGACAAAATACGGCGCGGTCAATACAAGATGCCCGGATGCGAGACCGTGGAAAATACCAAGGTATATTTTCACTCGTCTCCACACGCAAAGTCAATACGCGCAGGGAGACCAAGGAAAATACAAAGAATATACCCCTTCGTTCCCACTGCTAGTGAAAACTAGGGCAATACGGTTTTGTAAATGACCAGCTCAGATGTCTGATACGAGTAATAATTATATAATATTGACTGGCCTTGAGGGGTATATCAGAAATATTGACCAAGCTCAGATCATATTGCCCCGAGTCGAAAGACGAGGGCAATATGGTCTTAGCGCGGTCAATATTTCTGATATCCCCCGAAAGTAAAGCCAGTCAATATTTTTATTGTTATCCAAATCATACATCTAGAGCAAATAGAGACATCCACCATGACAATCTCAAGAACTGAACAAACTTTGTCAAACCAACACTGTGCATCCAGTGCTTGACAAAATTTTCGATACACTACAAACAGTGTGTATTTGGTGTGATTATTACGTCACAATAGAGTGCGCGCAAAGTGCGCAGGTTCTCGTACGCATAATATTAATAGATGCGCAATGAAAATGCGAGACCGTGGAAAATACCAAGGTATATTTTCACTCGTCTCTACACGCAAAGTCAATACGCGCAGGGAGACCAAGGAAAATACAAAGAATATACCCCTCCGTTCCCACTGCTAGTGAAAACTAGGGCAATACGGTTTTGTAAATGACCAGCTCAGATGTCTGATACGGGTAATAATTATATAATATTGACTGGCCTTGAGGGGTATATCAGAAATATTGACCAAGCTCAGATCATATTGCCCCGAGTCGAAAGACGAGGGCAATATGGTCTTAGCGCGGTCAATATTTCTGATATCCCCCGAAAGTAAAGCCAGTCAATATTTGTATTGTTATCCAAATCAGACATCTAGAGCAAATACAGAAATCCACCATGACAATCTCAAGAACTGAACAAACTTTGTCAAACCAGCACTGTGCATCCCGCGGCTTGACACAATTTTCGTTACATATACACTGCAAACAGTGTGCATTTGGTGTGATTATTACGTCACAATAGAGTGCGCGCAAAGTGCACAGGTTCTCGTACGCATAATAGATGCGCAATGAAAGTGACAAAATACGGCGCGGTCAATACAAGATGCCCGGATGCGAGACCGTGGAAAATACCAAGGTATATTTTCACTCGTCTCCACACGCAAAGTCAATACGCGCAGGGAGACCAAGGAAAATACAAAGAATATACCCCTTCGTTCCCACTGCTAGTGAAAACTAGGGCAATACGGTTTTGTAAATGACCAGCTCAGATGTCTGATACGGGTAATAATTATATAATATTGACTGGCCTTGAGGGGTATATCAGAAATATTGACCAAGCTCAGATCATATTGCCCCGAGTCGAAAGACGAGGGCAATATGGTCTTAGCGCGGTCAATATTTCTGATATCCCCCGAAAGTAAAGCCAGTCAATATTTTTATTGTTATCCAAATCAGACATCTAGAGCAAATACAAACATCCACCATGACAATCTCAAGAACTGAACAAACTTTGTCAAACCAACACTGTGCATCCAGTGCTTGACAAAATTTTCGATACACTACAAACAGTGTGTATTTGGTGTGATTATTACGTCACAATAGAGTGCGCGCAAAGTGCGCAGGTTCTCGTACGCATAATATTAATAGATGCGCAATGAAAATGCGAGACCGTGGAAAATACCAAGGTATATTTTCACTCGTCTCTACACGCAAAGTCAATACGCGCAGGGAGACCAAGGAAAATACAAAGAATATACCCCTCCGTTCCCACTGCTAGTGAAAACTAGGGCAATACGGTTTTGTAAATGACCAGCTCAGATGTCTGATACGGGTAATAATTCTCTATATACGTTGTTGACCTCCAAATAATGCATAGATCTCCGCTTATAAGGTTTAATAAACCCCAAATTATAATACAGATAGTTCTAACTGCATGGAAATGAAATACAAGTCATTATTTTGATAAACAAATGGGCAATTTCTTAAATCCATTTAAATCAACCTCATTTTCCAAACATGCGGCGGGGGGGGGGGGGGGATAATAGTGAGGGGTTAATGTCAGTACGGCCTTTTTTGTTGCTGTTTTGCTTGCTGCTTGTTACTATCTTCCACTCTGAATTGCACTATGAAGACTTTTCTTTCTTATTCCTGCAAACTTGTTGTGTATAGGCCGGCTAAGTTTTAAGCTGAAATACGCACGGTCATTGACACAGGATATGATTCAGAGTTTAGTTAAAAAGAGTATACGTGTCACCCCCCCCCCCCCCCCCCCCCCCCCCCCCCCTCTCCACCAACAAAAATGGTATCGAATCTATGGCTTGAATGGCAAACAAAACAAGAAGGTTCATAATTTCTTATCTTTGTGTATTTTAGGTATGCACGATTGGGTCCAACATGAGACAATTAAGGATACACTTTATCACTTGATTACAGATTAAGAAAGAAATATTGGCAGCCATCCAGAGTTAAGATCTTGCATGTAATAAGATTGAACTAAATAAAATGTTAACGAAGCGTTTTTGGAATGGGTTCCACAACTATGTCTATATCGCACTTTGTGCACCTAATATTACTCTTATCACAAAATTATGGACTCAGCTTACTCAGCTTGGTAGGTGCCTACCCTATTGAACGGCGGGAAGAAGAAGAGTGCAAAGAGAGAGATAGAGAGAGAGAGAGAGACAAAGACACAGAGAGAGAGAGAGAGAGAGAGGGGGAGGGAGGGAGAGAGGGGAGGGGAAAGAGAGAATGAGTGACAGAAAGAAAGAAAAGAGAGAGAGAGAGAGCGATAAAGAGAGGGAGAGGGGTGAGGGGTGAGGGGTGTATGAACGTGATAAGAAATGATAGGAAATAGTTACCTATAAATCGATGACCTTGTTTATCAACACTTAATCCGCCTAGTAAAAGAAACCCCACTGTTCACACCGCCCCCCCCCCCCCCCCCCCCCCCCCGTCCATGGCTGCATTCGCGCTACGCCACTGTCTGGCACAACCAACTTATACAATATGCGAAAAAAACGGCTTTTAATAAACCCTCCATCCAGCAGGCGGAGGGCGATGAGTAAAAAAGAAAAAGTTCCTCACTCTTTCTTTATTAACGTATTGGAATTTAAAAAATACAAATTTTGAATAATAACCTTAAAAATATGTGAATAAAAAAAAAGGTTCAAAGAATTTAGGCCCCGTTTTTCTAAATATTAAAAAGGAGGTTTATTTTGGAGCTAACGACTTATCATTGGTTGAGAAGAAGAAAGGAACAACAGAGAAAGAATACAAGAAAGACAGAGAGAGAGGCCGAAAGAGGAGACAGAAAGAGAAAAGGAGAGAGAGAGAGAGAGAGAGAGAGAGAGAGAGAGAGAGAGAGAGGGGGGGGGAGAGAGAGGGAAGAGACAACGGGGTATGGTGGGTATAAAGATGGTTTCGGCAGATACTTTCCGAGCGTTTTCAGCAAAACCAGATTGATAATTGTACTTCATTATTATACCAGACGCCTATTTAAAGGGATCGTTTAACAATGTAGTGTTATGCAAAATTTATAATTCGAATCATAAATATCTTGATAATCAGACAGGCGATCGGCATGTAAAAATCATGGGGTTCCTGACTGACCTAAAGGTTTATAATTATTAATGCAGTATGAGCTAAATTCAGAATTTTGTTTCAGAATCTGAGACAAAGTTACCGGATCCCTTTAATAATATTTTACCTCGTAAACACTCGTGATGCGTAACCGGAAGAAGATCGGAATGAAGAGACGTATGACGATAAAGTTGCCGACGGTGTATGATAACAACGACCACGCAAACATGGTGTCGTACATGTAGATCTCGCCTGGCGTTCCGATGACGGAAATCGCCGAGATGAAACTGACAACGACCGACATCGCCACGGGCACGATACCCATTTTGCGATCCCCTAGGAAAAACTCTTCGGCCGTTCGTTGACGTCCCCCGGAGAGGGCCGAATAGATACCGATTGATGCCGAGAGGAGGAGCATGATGGCGAAGACAACGTAGTCCCATACGCCAAAATGGTGGCCACTGACTGTATTGTCCATGATGGGTTGATATTTGTTTTTTACTGGGTAAATAGATCAATTAAATAAAACGCATTAATTTCATTTCGTCTTTATTAAGTAAAATGCAGCCAAATTCTATCTCAGTACAACTCTTCCTTCAAGGGCGGTTCCAGGGGTGCGTGCGGGGGGGGGGGGGTGGACACGTCCTCTTTTTCCTTCCGAAAAGAAAATTGCAATATCAGGGGTCCTTAAGCGGGCCCCGGACCCCAAGCCGTAAAGGCTTCGCCCTCGCAGTTTCGTACGTTTCACCCCCCCCCCCCCCTTGGAAAACCCTGAAACCGCCGTAAAGGCCGTAAAGGCTTCGCCTTCAATGTGTTTTATTTTACTTTGTAATGTAACCCAATTATATTAAAAAATCAAAATAATCGAAAATGATCAGAAACAAGTGAGAAAAAGTCACAATTCGATGGTTATTTTGATAATATCATATAGCGAGCTCCTCTCGAGCTGACACCTAGAACTTTCAACACGCTTCAATATTACCATTGAAGTATACTTTAATATAGATATTGTTCAGTTATAGTGTCAATGTAACCGACTGAAAATTTATAACTATGGTACTTAAAATTTGTTTTGGATTTTTCAAAAGTCATTTAGTTTTCTTTTTCTACTTAACTTAATTCCCACTCAACATTTCCCAAAAAGTTAACATTTACATACTCAGGCAATACGTGATGGGTAGGCCTTAAAAGTTAATAACATGTTGAAACTAACACCACCACGTCCATGAAGTAACTCAGAAATGAGAAAGAAATTGGAATGTATCTTTATTTTGTTGTATTTTAATCAGTTCTGAAACGAAGAATAGGTATACATATAAGCGGATTTGGCGAAATAGCTCAGTTGGTAGAGCAGTGGTCTCATAATCCGGCGACCCAGGTTCGAAACCAAGTCGATCCGCTAGTGCCCTTTGGTAAGGCATTAATCCTCATTTACCAGATCCGTCGGAGAGGACCTAAAACTGTCGGTTCTCTGGTTACTTACTAACAAACACTTATGCTTTCTTAGCAGTCAGGTAAAATGACCACCACCACCACCACTACATATATGTATATGGAAAGCAGAAACTTGTTTTAAACAGAGCTGGATCTCCAAGCTTGAGGCCCGGTGAGCGCTTAAGATTTGATACAAGTTGTGATGATGATACAAGTAGCACATGAACAAAAAATGAAAAAGATAATAAATTTCAAAAGATTAACTTACCGCACGTATAGAAGTGCTCAGCCTCGTTTCTGGATTAATCTACCCTATATGAATGACTGCAATGAGACGAGACTAACAAAACAAGCTTTGTTAAACCCTCTTATCGTTTTAGTCCCAATAAAAAAATGTTCGCAAGTCACCAAAGGAACGAAAGGCACAAAGGTCATAATTTGTCAATATTGTGGAGTTTATGAGCTGACTTTACAGTCGGGTCATTAAATTAAATATACATGAACCAACCTTGGAGATTTGCGGAAGCCGAGGAGCCATTGGATTGATATTAAAATAATGCCGGCGTCCACCCCCCCCCCCCCCCCTCCTCTCCCAACTAAAACAGTCGATCAGTATTTTTTTTACATGTCTGATAGCAAAGTGACAATTCGAACAGAAATTGAAATACGATCAAATCACAAACAAAAAGACAATCATATTGAATTTATTTTGATTATCACAACAAATTTAACAAAAATCTAAGAATTAAAGGTAAAGACCAGTTATGGTCATGCGATTGCATTGTGAAAGAAACGTTGTGGAATCGATCAGAAAAGGTTGATCATCTAGCATCTAGCATCTGCAAGGTTCTGGAATCATCAAAATGATAAGATATTTGGCACATTCTTCGTAAAGTTACAAGCACTATACACAAAAAGATGTATATGGGACTACCCTATATCTCTCACAGACCATGAGAGAAACAAATTTACCAAATATATGAATTAGTAGGCGGTTTCCTGGCAAATTTTTTATCATCATGTATTAGTCAAAACATATTCTTTCACATGATTGGTAATGAGAGCTTCCATTTCATTTTTTGAAATTGGGGCGTTTCCAATACTGGTCTTTACCTTTAAAGTATCATTAAAAATTTTAAATAAAATAAAAGAAGAATGTTTATATCTAAATATTTCAGAAAGAAATGAACATACATGTAACAACGGGAACTATGCACTTTTTTCTCCGTCGTCGGTTGTTATTCGTTCATTAGTTCGTATGTGCTTTAAATATATTTCATTACCGCCATGTAGTTTCCCTTGGCCATGGGGTGGGGGGGGGGGGGAGAACAGAAAAAGAATATTACTCTGACTGCTTGTTAGTAAGCAATCAGAGGACCGATAGCTTATTATCCAGACATTGATAAACGGGGGGGGGGGGTGAATACTTTGTACTCCGGAGAAGGGATTGGAGCGAATCAATTACTGACATAATTATTCCCACCGCAATTTTCATTGATTTCTTTTCCTTCATCCTGCAAAGAGATGTAAGTGGGGAGGGGTTTTCAACACCCCATCCCTGATCCGAATCATTTAGAAATGATTTACTATTTTAAAATAAACTTGGCGCTGAGATTGACTTTAAAAAATGCATCGTAAATTTAATTCAAGTTTAACAGGCTTGAAATGACCGTACCTTGACAGTCATACGTGTATCTGTTACTTGATGACCTTGCACCCACTTAATCATTGCCAAAACAAACGGGTAAAAATCCAAACGTGTCGCATAAATTCACATTATAGTCAAATTTTATAGTACAATGACCATGAACGTGTTGTAAAAGAGTTGAGTGTAAAGTTTAAAGTACGGTCATATACAGTGACGTATAGCTACATGGGACACGGGTGTATGATTGTGTCCTCCCTCCCTTTATTTGAATTAACCTATGCTACCCAGAAAGTTATCGAAAATGACCTCTATTTAAAGAGAGAGAGAGAAAAAGAGGGGGGGGGGGTCAAATTGGCTACATGCACAGCCGCGCATGCAGTGTGGCGTAGCTTGATCCCGCCCCCCCCCCCCCAACTCAGTGTTATTTAGGGTACGCATAATTATGCTCGTTCTCTCTTTTTGAAAGCACCCCCTATCTGAGGACTGCCAACATTTCCGAACCCCCCTTTCGCGGGCTTTTCGCTGGCTTTTTCTGCCTTGGAGACCCCCCCCCCCCCCTAAATCAGGAAAAATTATCAATGCACCCCCCTAAATTCGGAATAATTTCTCAGTAGTCCAAAGAGATGAGAGAGAAAAAGAAAAACACCCCCTTTTTAAAGAAATCTCCCGGTGATAAGTCAAATACACCCCTTTTTTTACAATTCTCGGGCCGGACTTCGTCGCACGAAAAGTACCCCTTTACCGGACATTTTGGCAACACGCATGCGGTCATTCCGACCCCTGAGTGGGGGGGGGGGCGGGAGCTTGATCTGAGTCGGCCAACGTAGAGGGCACTGGCACCGTTAGGCCGTGTGACACCTGTCTTATTCGGAAAATGAAATCTGAATTTTCAATTAAGCTCCTGAGGGGGGGGGGGGGGGGGTGCGGGAGGTATTCCATGCAATCATGTTAACATCACCACCACCACCACCATCATTCTCATCATCATCGTCGTCATCATCATCATCATCATCACTCTCTTATTAACATCATCATCAATAATAGCAGCATCATCACCCCCTTTACCATCATCACCCTCATCAGCAAGAACATCGTCGTCATCGTCATCACCATAATCACTCTCATTAATATCACCATCAACATATAGCCCTCTCATCATTGAAGATTATCAACAGCAACATCATCATAATATCCTTTAAAGGTAAAGACCAGTTATGGTCATGCGATTGCATTGTGAAAGAAACGTTGTGGGATCGATCAGAAAAGGTTGATCATCTAGCATCTAGCATCTGCAAGGTTCTGGAATCATCAAAATGATAAGAAATTTGGCCCATTCTTCGTAAAGTTACAAGCACTATACACAGAAAGATGTGTATGGGACTACCCTATATCTCTCACAGACCATGAGAGAAACAAATTTACCAAATATATGATTAGTAGGCGGTTTCCCGGCAAATTTTTTATCATCATGTATTAGTCAAAACATATCCTTTCACATGATTGGTAATGAGAGCTTCCATTTCATTTTTTTGAAATTGGGGCGTTTCCAATACTTGGGCGGTATTCTGAACCCTGTGTTATCTCTAATATTGTTGTATCTTTGGAGATAAGATAAAGTTGGTATTCTGAACATTGTTGTAACTTTTGTGTTATCTTTTGTTGTATCTTTTCTCTCATCTCATTGGCCGCGCCTGCGCTCATAATGTTTGGTGCGCTTGTAATTGTGCGTATTATTAATAAAGTGGCGTTTAATCCTCATTTGCATATGCGCACGAGAGATAATATGTCGAGATAATTGGTATTCTGAAAGTTGTTGTATCTTTTATCATATCTTATCTTGCATGGTATTTACAACAATATTTACAACAGGGGTGGTATTCTGAACATTGTTGTAAGTTTTGTGTTATCTTTTGTTGTATCTTCCAGAGATAACACAGCGCTAATATTGTTGTAAGTTGGTATTCTGAACATTGTTTTATCCCTGTGTTATCTCTTGAAGGACCGCCTCTATCTTATCTTTGACCATTGATGACACGCCCATTTTTATGGACCCTACCAATCAAAATCTATTTTATATAAGCATGATAAGTAGATCAACCAATAGGAATACTTTATGCCATATCTGAAGATGCGCCTAGCGCATACTAATCTTGGGCGTAATTAGTTATTTGAGCACTTATTACGCGCGTCATCATTATGCGCTGTTGAATGTGGATCATGAAGACAAATCACGATTTCACTATATTGGTTAAGATGAGAGCATTAAAATAGACCTATCCTAGCATGTAATATCTTAGAAAGTTCTCATCTGTGATGTTTCCGGTCAACACACAATCTTCTTCTAACTCGTCTATTGGCACGAAGTTGCTTCTGGGCAAAAAATATTGCCGCCATTATATCACAACGAAAGATACAACAACCCCCTACCTGTTGTAAATATTGTTGTAAATACCATGCAAGATAAGATAAGATAAAAGATACAACAACTTTCAAAATACCAATTATCTCGACATATTATCTCCCGTGCGCATAAGCAAATGAGAACTAAATGCCACTTTATTAATAATACGCACAATTACAAGCGCACCAAAGTATGAGCGCAGGCGCGGCCAATAAGATGAGAGAAAAGATACAACAAAAGATAACGCAAAAGTTACAACAATGTTCAGAATACCAACTTTATCTTATCTTCAAAGATACAACAATATTAGAGATAACACAGGGTTCAGAATACCGCCCCAGGTAGGGGGTTGTTGTATCTTTCGTGGTGACATAATGGCGGCAATATTTCTTGCCCAGAACCAACTTCGTGTCAATAGACGAGTTAGAAGAAGATTTTGTGTTGACCGGAAACATCACAGATGAGAACTTTCTAAGAAATTACATGCTAGGATTATGACGATTTTAATGCTCTCACCTTAACCAATATAGTGAAAGCGTGATTTGTCTTCATGATCCACATTCAACAGCGCATAATGATGACGCGCGTAGTAAGCGCTCAAATAACTAATTACGCCCAAGATTAGTATGCGCTAGGTGCATCTTCAGATATGGCATAAAGTATTCCTATTGGTTGACCTACTTATCATGCTTATATAAAACAGATTTTGATTGGTAGGGTCCATACAAATGGGCGTGTCATCAGTGGTCAAAGATAAGATAGAGGCGGTCCTTCAAGAGATAACACAGGGATAAAATGATGTTCAGAATACCAACTTACAACAATATTAGCGCTGTTTAATCTCTGTGAGATACAACAAAAGATAACACAAAACTTACAACAATGTTCAGAATACCACCCTGGTCTTTACCTTTAATATCACCAACACGAACTCCACCAGGGTCATCGTCGTCATCACCACCATCGTCGTCATCATCATGGATCTGAAATTATGTGAGAGTTTCTTAAATGGTGTTATGGTTACAACGAGTTAACTCTACAATATTCCTTTGAGTTCACATTGATGCCAACTCACGTGGACCGTACCGAGTAAGCACGTGTTCTGCATTTACAACGCACGTTGTGCGCACTGATTTATGCAGTATATAGTCTCTGTGGTTGAATGGGCGGCATCTTGAGGCAGCAGCAGCTGGGACTTCTGGAGAACATCGGAATGTCGTCCTATATATCGCATATATCGGGCGGAAAATCTCACCGAGTTCGTCGCACGTGCA